GTTGGTAAGCATTATATTATAAATTAACTTTTACAACACAAAATAAAACATCATCTAATTAAGTAATTTTATTTTTTTATTTCTTTATAATAACCAGCTAGTAAGTATTATACTATAAATTAACTTTTACAACACAAAATAAACTTTATCAAAACATCATCTAGTTAAATACTTTTATTTTTTATTTCTTTATAATAACTAGGGAGTAAGTATTATATTATAAATTAACTTTTACAACACAAAATAAACTTTATCAAAATATCATCTAATTAAATAAATTTATTTTTTATTTCTTTATAATAACCAGTGAGTGAGTATTATATGCTACAAATTAACTTTTACAACACAAAATAAATTTTATTGAAAAATCATCTAATTAAATAAATTTATTTTTTATTTCTTTATAATAACCAGTGAGTGAGTATTATATACTACAAATCAACTTTTACAACACAAAATAAACCATCTAATTAAATAAATTTAATTTTATTTCTTTATAATAATAACCAGGTTGTAAGTATTATATTATATTAACTTTACAACACAAAATAATTTTATTAAAAAATCATATTATATAATAAAATAACTTTTACAACACAAAATAAATTTTATTTAAAACATCATCTAATTAAATAATTTTGTCTTCATTTCTTTATAATAACCAGCTTGTAAGTATTATATTATATAATAAATTAATTTTTACAACACCAAATAAATTATTTAATTAAACAAATTTCTTTATTATAATTTACAATAACCAGCTTGTAAGTATTATAATAAAATAACTTTTACAACACAAAATAAACATTATTAAAACATCATCTAAATTAAATAAATTTATTTTTATTTCATTATAACCAGTTTGTAAGTATTATATTATAAATTAACTTTTTACAACATAAAATAAACCATTTAATTAAATAAAATTAATTTTTATTTCTTTACAATAACCAGGGAGTAAGTATTATACTATAAATTAACTTTTACAACACAGACAAATCACCTAATTAAATAAATTTATTTTTTATGAATTATGATAACCAGCTGGTAAGTATTTATAAATATTAACTTTTACAACATAAAATAATTTTAAGACATCATCTAATTAAATAAAATTAATTTTTATTTCTTTATAATAACCAGATGGTAAGTATTATACTGCAAATTAACTTTTACAACACAAAATAAACCATCTAATTAAATAAAATTAATTTTTATTTCTTTATGATAACCAGATGGTAAATATTAATTTTTACAATACAAAATAAATTTTATTAAAACATCATCTAATTAAATAAATTTATTTTTTATTTCTTTATAATAACTAGATGGTAAGTATTATACTGCAAATCAACTTTTACAACACAAAAAAAACCATCTAATTAAATAAATTTAATTTTTATTTTTTTATAATAACCAGATGGTAAGTATTAATTTTTACAATACAAAATAAATTTTATTAAAACATCATCTAATTAAATAAATTTAATTTTTATTATGATAATCAGATGGTAAGTATTATATTACAAATTAGCTTTTACAACACAAAATAAACCATCTAATTAAATAAATTTATTTTTATTTCTTTATAATAACCAGATTGTAAATATTTATAAATTAACTTTTACAACACAAAATAAATTTTATTAAAAAATCATCTAATTAAATAAATTTATTTTTTATTTCTTTATAAAAACCAGATTGTAAGTATAAATTATTAATTTTTACAACACAAAATAAATCATCTGATTAAATATATTTATTTTTTATTTCTTTATAATAACCAGCTTGTAAGTATTTATAAATTAATTTTTATTATTTATAAAACCAGCTAATTAAATAAATTTATTTTTTTATTTATAGATCGTAAGTATTATAAATTAACTTTTACAACACAAAATAAACCATCTAATTAAATAAATTTTTTTTTTATTTCTTTATAATAACCAGCTAGTAAGTATTATATTATAAATTAACTTTTACAACACAAAATAAATTTTATTAAAACATCATCTAATTAATCAATTTTATTTTTTATTTATAGATTGTAAGTATTATATTATGAATTAATTTTTACAACACAAAATAAATTTTATTAAAACATCACCTAATTTTAAATAAATTTAATTTTTATTTCTTTATAATAACCAGTTCGTAAGTATTTATAAATTAACAACACAAAATAAATTTTATTAAAACACCATCTAATTAAATAAATTTAATTTTTATTTCTTTATAATAACCAGTTGGTAAGCATTATACTATAAACTAATTTTTAATACAAATTAAATTTATTAAACATTATCCTAATTAAATAAATTTAATTTTTATTTCTTTATAAATAACCAGTTGGTAAGCATTATACCATAAATTAACCTTTACAACTTTTACAACATTAATAAATTTTATTAAAACATCATCTAATTAAATAAATTTTATTTTATTTCTTTATAATAATAACCAGATTGTAAGTATTATAACTTTTACAACACAAAATAAATTTTATTAAAAAATCATCTAATAAATTAATTTTTCAACTCAATTTTTATTATAACATCACCTAATTAAATCTATATGATTGTTACTTTTTATAATAACCAGGAGGTAAGTATTATATTATTAATTTACTTTTACAATACACCATCTAAAGCCAAATCAATTAATTTTTATTTAGATAGTTTAATAAACAAATTAACTAACAAATTAAATAATGAATTAAATGATGAATCAGTTGGATTAATTAATTTATCAAATAAGTTACTTGAAACATTAAAAATATTAAAAAGTTGCTTTGTTTGTGAAAAAAATTTATTAAATAATGAAAAAGTCAAAGTTTTACTTAGTAAATTAATAGGAATAAATTCAAAAATGATTGATAAATTATCTGGAGAAATATCTGGGTTAGATAATCAATTAAATAACAAATTATGTAATAGTTGCCAAGAAAGAAAAATAGAAAAATCAATTAATGAATGTGGAAATAAAGAAATGGCTAGATTTCTTTATCAATATAAATCAGATTCAAAAACTATTAAATGGATTCCATTT